GGAGTCCCATATGACTATTTGTCCGTGATGCACTATGGCAAAGATGATTTCACCAATGGCAATGGATCTACAATTATCACCAAAGACCCCAAATTCCAGAATCTTATTGGTCAACGACTGGAAATGAGTGCTAGAGATGTTCAGGAGCTGAATCTACTCTACAAATGCAGTAAGTGCTCAAAGATTATGGGGACCAGCATCCAGTTTTAGGAATACTCTGGGATTACTGGTTAAAGTTACTAAGGACAACGTGAAAATATATTGTGCCCTTAACCAATAGAAAGTAGCCATTTTCTTTGTCACACTTACATTGGTAAATAGTTTTATATTGTTTTTAGAGTTACTACGCGCATTTAAACTTAGTAGGGCTCTTTACTGGGGTTTTTACTTATATTCATGAGGCCATAAATTTATATATTATTGAATTCCAAAATATCTATTATGATCACTTTTTGAACTGGCACAATGATCAAGTCTATTTGTTTTAAGAAAAGTTCAACAAGTCACAATTATAATTTGAAAATGGTTTAAACAGACAACCATGCTCATATTCACACCTATGGTCAATTTATAATCAGCAAATAATCCCACTCTATTTGTTTAATTCATACAAAAATCAACATGCCAGGATTGCTATGTGTCAGGCTGCAATTTCAGCAATATCATGGGTACTCCAAAGATCAACTTTCTGTTTCTCATTGTAAATAATTAACTAAGCCTAAAGTGCTGAATGTGTGTAGAAAATTGCTCACACCGACACAATTCACTGACTTGAGATGACAGTTTTGTGAGTTGACAATTTTGCCTTTTCCCTCCAACCTTCCTTGAAAAAAAAAACTTGCACTTTTAATTGATCTCTACAGGCTCATCCATTGCCTTTAAGATGTACTGTGGCTTTACTAATGGGACCATGTGTCAAATGAACCGCTGTTCAAAGAGTGGCAATGGCTGGGAAATGGTAACTGGTGTTTATGGTGGTCCCAGCTCTGACCACACCAATCTGCCCAGTGGAAATAGTGGTCAAGGTAAGGTCTCAAATATTCCATTTTTTATTGCAGTTTTTATTACAGTTTGAAATGGAAAATCTAGTTTTCCAACATTATTAACATCAAAAGTAAGCTGCCAGCAATAATAATAAATACTTTTGATACTTAAGATTTAAAGATCTGATGTAAGATAATTTTGAACTGCATTGTAGGTCAGGATGCGGGTTACTTCATGTATGCTAGCACAG